TGGTGGGGGGATTGTTGATGGTTTGAGGTTAATTTATTTTTCTTGTTATATATATATATATATAATTTTTGGCTGGGGTGGGAGTGTGTATGGACGTGTATGTGTGTGTGTGTGTGTGTGTGTGTGTGTGTGTGTGTGTGTGTGTGTGTGTGGCTGTGTATCCTGATTTCGGTTTGTTCTAGGGATGGAGCAGAAGGATGAGGAGCTGGGATAGGAGGAGGAGGGGAGAGTGGAGGGGGGGAGGAGGGGAAGGAGGAGGGCGGCCTTGGCTATCATACATCACATTCCGAGTCGCTGGAGGTTACCGAGAGGATGGAAGTGCCGGTGTCCGCGCGCTCCGTCAGGCTGGACACACTGGTGGTCGGGCTGGCCGCCGTGGACGGCGACTCTGCCGAGCCGTGCGTGGGGCAGCCGGGCTCGGCCAGAGAGCGCATGCCGCTCGGTCCGATGGCCTGGTGCTGGAGCCTGCGGGAAAGAGAGAGCGGTGCCTGCCCTCACTCAAAGGCCCGCCACCCTGCTCCCCCTCACTTGTACCGCGGGGAGCCTGGCCCGGCTGGGCCCCGCACTCCCCTGCCTCTGCGGCCTCCCGCGTCGCTAGCCCGGAGCGATCTGCCCCCGACTGTGCTTTGTGTTCTTCGGGGCACCCAACTGCTTGCTCCGCGAGCAGCGAGCTGCGCAGAGCCTTCCTAACCCAAGTCCTGGCTCCCTGGCTCCTTGGCTTAGGGAAGCGTTCCAGATAGGGACGGCCTTAGAGAAAGGGTTGAACCCCAAGCCAGCCGCCTGCGGAGAATTGAGCACGCGCCTAGGAACGCTGAGCCCTGGACCAGCAGACAGTAGGGAAGAGCTCTCCGCTTTTCTTCCGCAACCTCGGAGGCTCTTGTAACTGGGCCTGCCGCCTGGAGACCCAGAAATTCCACAGAGCCTCCAGCCACGGCTTTCCCAAACACACATCCAGAGCTGCGGGGGTTCTCCCAAGAGTACCCACCGTTTTACTTTCTAAGTCCCTATGCGGAGGGCGCAGGATCCGGGGAAGAGAAAATAGGGAAGGGTGGGAGCTAAAAGATGCGGGACGAGAAAGCAGCCAGAAAAGGGAAGGAAGAGAATGCAGGAGGGAAGGACAGACTGTCTGTTTTCCGAGCGAAGAACCAGTTGCCTGATCCCAGTGTCTCCCCACAAGGAAGCCTTTCCCTGGTCCTGGGTGTTCCCTCCATCTGGCGAAAAGTGGCCTCCACAGGCAGAGAGGAGAGAGAAGTGGCCTCAGGCCTAGACCACCTAACCCTACACATCATACTTTAGGTACTCTCGCTAAATCTCCAGCGGCTGCAGCTGTCAGCAGCTGGGGCTTCTGCTGCCTGCAGCGTCCCGGGCCTAGTGCCTTTCAAGCGGATTGAGGATCTGCATCCGAGCTTCTGCTCAGCGCCCCCCCCCCCTTCTTTCTCCCTTTCCTTTGGACTGATTTGCTCTAGCTCCTCTCCCTTTCCTCCTCACTTCTCCCAGCCCAGCTTTAAAGATGGACAAGAACCCAAACAACTTCGTAACTTTGTAACCAACTTGCTGGCAACAGAGCTGCACCTGCTGGCGTTTGTTTGCTTCCTAGCTAAGTGGACCAAAGGGATGGATGCTCCTTAACTGAGGACACAGGAAGACGTAATGCTTGAGGGACACCAGGGGTGGACACACTTGTGTGAACACGTTAATTAAAACACACTAGGCCTCTTCACACCCAGCCTGTCTCTCCTGTTCAGGGTCCGAGAGAGAAGCTCGCTGGATGGTGGCCACGGGGCCTTCTTCCCTTTGTGGCAGGGTCCCTGGTCCACTTTCTCCTCTCGAACGTTTCTGGACCTCTCTAAGGCTTCCCACTCCTCTTTTGCGATGCATGGATATAATCAGATAGCAACTAGAGTTTGCCTTGTCCTCCCAGCCTTCTAGCTGGGGCCAGGGCTGAGGAAACCTGCCAGGGGACCAGGGCTTCCAAGGACGGGCACCATGGGTTGAGGACACTAGAGGCTCCTGGGGAAAGCAGTCTGTAAACCCACAGCCTGTCGTCCCCTGTTCCGGGGCAACCAAAAACTTTCCCTAACTACCCAGAGTCCCGGCTTCTCCAGCTCTGGGTCAGCTGCCCCTACCATGCCGGGGATCGCCTGCGTTCCAACCCGTCGCCCCTTCCCCAGCCCCGGAGGCTGTGGCCCGGCCGCGGTCCCCGCCACTGCCACTGACCTGTTCTTGGCCGCCGCGGCACGGTCGCGCTGTCGCCGGTTCTTAAACCAGTTGCCTACTTGTGTGGGAGTGAGGCCGGTGGCCTGCGCCAGTTCGCGTTTCTTGCTGGGGTTGGGGTAGGGATCCTGCAGGTACCACTCCCGCAGCAGGCTCCGAGTCCGCTCCTTGAAGCAATGAGTCTTCTGCTCGCCATCCCAGATGGTGCGCGGCAGCGGGAACTTCTTGCGCACGCGGTACTTGTCCACCGGGCCGAGCGGGCGGCCGCGCAGCTTCTCGGCCTCCTGGTAGTGCGCCTCGAGCCACATGGCCTGCAGCTTGCCGTGAGACTCCTTGGTGAACTTGTGGTTCTCCAGGATGTGGTACAGGTCGCGGAAGTTGCCGGTGTGGAAGGCAACGACGGCGCGCGCGCGCAGGATCGACTCGTGTTTGTTGATGGCCTCGCACGCCCCGGGGGCCACGGGCAGCGACCAGAGGAAGCGGCCCAGCCGCTCGATGTCGCCCGTCTCCTCCAGCGTCTCGCAGACGCTGGCCACCTGCTCCGGCGAGAAGTTGAGGGTGGGCAGCTGGAACATGGACAACTCTTCCGGGGGGGCCCTGGAGCCGCCGCCGCCGCCGCCGCCGCCTGCTCCGCCAGCACCGCCGCCTCCCGCACGGTTCCCGCCGCCGCTGCCGCCTCCTCCCGCGCCGCCGCCGCCGCCGCCGCCCGCACTGCTCCCGCCGCCGCTACTCGCCAGAAGTAGGGAGCAGTGGTGAGAATCGGCGAAGTTTGGCAACAAGAAGTGGGAGGAATAGAGGTCTAGGGGGGAGCGGAATACCATGGACTGACCTGAGAGGAGAGGAGAAAATTCAGGGAGAGGAAGAGAGAGGGGAGGAAGAGGAGGAGAGGGGCGATGAGGACCAGGAGGAGGGAGAGGAGAGGGGGGAGGAGGAGATGGAAAGGAGGGGGGAGCAGAAGGAGAAGGAGGGGGAGGAGGAAGGACGTAAGGGACACCCACACCCCACACACATCCACATACACACACACCCGCGCAGCCACATAGAGAGGGAGGAAGGAGAGCGGCCCGGTGCGCGCGCGCAGAGAGAGAACCCGAGGCAGGGAGAGGGAGAGGGAGAGGGAGAGGGAGAGAGAGGAGAGCGAGAGGAGAGCGAGAGCCAACCACCGCCGAGTCAAGATTCAGCGATTCCACAGCAATCGCCCTAATGACAACAGCCTCATAATATCTCCCCTAAATCCACAGTGAGTGCAGCATTGAAACATTTTGTTTCGCTTTTCTATTGGTCTGCGGCGTGTCGTTGTGGCGTTGCCACGGCAACCACTGCCAATCACTGTCAGCCCTGCCAATCAATACCGAGAACGTAAGGACGGTTTTACCACTTAGCCGGAGGGGGGGGGGGAGGAGGAGGGAGAAGAAGGCGAAACAGAATTTAAAAAAAAAAAAAATCTTTGCAACTCTTAATATTCTCTCTCTCTCTCTCTCTCTCTCTCTCTCTCTCTCTCTCTCTCTCCTTGCTCAAAGAAGTTGATCGAAAAAAATTCGAAAAGGAATAGCCATAGAGTAGTTGGATGAGACAAGCAATTAGTTACAAGGAGTGTTTTGGGAAAGCGAAGGGGCTCCCAGCCTCAGGAGCACCAGGCAGCTTGTCTGTGGAAAGGTTGAGGACCAGGTGGCCCGGCAAGGTTTGCACACGGTGTCTCAGTCACCTCTTTCTGTCTATGTGAGCGCTGATAGTTGTCAGGAAGAAAGAAGAGAGGAGATTATAAGGCCTTTTGCACAGTCACCCTAGCAAGACGCTGGGTGAGCCTAGATTTGGGAGACGATTTCTGGTGCCTAAGAGGTTGAACCCAGGACAGTGCCACTGAACTGCATTTAACGGACCTCCTTCTGTGCTGACTGTACAGTTCTTTGCTCTGCTCTCAGACGAGGATCGGTGAATTTTTCCATCACCATGTATTTAAAAATAGTGGAAATAACACTACACTTTCTCCATCTTCAAAAGCAACCCATTCTTTGTTTCCCCACCCCCAGACTTCAGCTGCCTCCCCCCAGTTATCGAATAGCAACAGGAGCCCAGAAACCTAGGGACTCTCTGGACCACTTTTCCTACATTCATAGCACAACCACTGGGCCTGCTCAACATCCTCAGAAAGATGCTGAAACTGTAGAGGGCACCCTGAGTAAACACCCAAGGCCTGAAAGTTCCTTATTTGCTCATAATGTAAATAATTATAATAACAAATAATAAAAGTCCTATTTCTCCATAGGTAAGATAATATCACAAGCCTGAAACAGACTCCCACCTCTTCTAAAGAATGTAGAGGGCCTTCCTTGCCTAGGGGCTACGACAGCCCCCAAGCCAGCCATGAGCATTTATTTATTCTTAGGCATGTTGCTTGTGAGAAGTTGTAATCTGCATCTTGGGTCCAGCCTCCCTTTGTAAAGCTTCTGTAACTATGGAAGTGTGATTTACGCAGATTTGTCCGGGTCAGAGACATCTTTTCCCTACTCACTGTGTATATTTAGACAGGATTCGGTTTGGTGTTAAAAAGTGTATATGTTGAATGGATTCACACACAGTAGCCAACAATGCCCACATTGTCGGCCCATGTACAACGCGTATTGAAACTCAGCGCCCAGACTTCAACTAATCTGCTCTCAATAAAGCTGAAATAATTATCCTAAGCTGCCTTTCTAGAAGAAAAATCATTGAGGAATTCAAAACTTTTTTTTTTTTAAGATCTTTTCTACATTCCGATGCAGATCTGGGGGCGCGGCGCCGGGTACACACCACTCGGGAGATCTCAGTGAGGGAAGAGGGAAAAAGAGTGTGGGAGAATTTAAATGTGGACCTAGCTGGAGCCTGGAGCTAAAACGGTCGCAGGCCTTAAATCTCAAGCTCGGGTCTTTCTTAGGCCTTGCTCCAGCAGCGCCAGGTTCCAAAGGGCCGCTTTGAGGGTGACACGGAGTGTTTAGGTTGGACTGTACTGGCTCTCTAGCTGGAGGCAGGTGGGGGACCCTAAACTCGCTGACTAGGGTGGAAGAATGTTTCCCCTAAAAGGTGGGTCCGCCGAGCCCCACTTTGGCGGTCTCTCTTTCTCTCTCTCCATACATCTATCTTCCTGTGGACCAGGAGAGTCCTTTTCCTCTCAGCTGCCAGGCTCTGGGCGGTCGCTCAATGCGGGCCCAAAAAGAGCCCAAAGGTTGGGACACAAAAACAGACACTTCGTCTTTTCTTCCCCGACCCCTTTCTCTTGTAGGGGAAGGATTATAGGCTGAAAGGTGGGAGGGAGAAGGGGCAGGAGGAGGAAGCGGGGGAGGAAGGAATGAAGAAGGGGAGGGGAGTGGGTATTGTGCCGCGTGTGGGGGGGAGAATTCCTACGGGTGGGTTTCCGAATATTGTGTTCAACTTTTTGAAAGCAGCTCGTGACCCCGAAACTGCATCCCCCGGAGCCGGGGACCCAGGCGCCAGGCGGGCGGGTGAACCCGGCCAGTCCCCTCCCAATCCCCGCAACCCCCCGCCTCCGAGTTGGGGGGGAACCCAGGCCTGGAGGGAGGTTGGGCAGGTGCCGCGGGCTGTGCCGAAAGCGCTGAAATCGAAAACCCTCGCCACTCGGGAAGAATTGAGGCAAAAGGATTGCAGACTCGGCTCGGGAACAGCCCTGCACTCCAGCCACTGCCTGGTCGCTCGTGGGCCCGCTGGGCTCGGCAGTTGGGTGGCGGCCGCGCCTTTCGAGCGCTAAGCCGGGAGGAGGGCGCAGGCAAGGCGCACAGTTCTGAGTGCGCCCCTACCCGGCCCGGGCCTGCTGCAGCCCCGACTGTCCGAGAGCCTCTCGGCAGAAGAGGGTTGTGCGCAGCCCTCTGAGCCCACCTCCTGGCCACACGGTCGCCAGCGCTTCTCCAGCTCAGGCCGGAAGCAATACGCTGCTTCCAAAGCCGGTAAGTTGAGAGTCCTGAGAGCTGGGCAGGGAGGCGGGGCGGATGGTCCCGGATGCTTATGGCAGGTCTGGATCCCCCCTGATGATCCGTGGGGTCTTGAACTAAAAGGTTTGGGGGTGTGCATTTTTTTGGGGGGGGGATTGCTGTGGACCTCTGGAGTTTTTCCAAATTCCCATGCACTGAGCTCTGGGGAGAGAGGCCGATGCAAAGGACCCAGGCTGCCTTCTTCGCTAGTCTGGGGTGGGAAAGAGCCCAGGGCACTTCCAGAGTAGGTGGTACGCTGAGGATCTCCTGCACCCCAATACTCTCAGAGCCACAAGACCCGGGTGAATTAGCCGGTAGGGCCTCTAGATCTCTCTTTCTTTCTGGCCTCCGAGACTCAGGAATCTGGGACTTGGCAGATCTACGGCTTTGGTACCCACAGAGGTCACCTGCACACACAAAATTGCCATCTCTTCCAACCCTGGCCTATACCGGATTTTTGAGTCAGAGTTCAGTTGGTGCGGGGAGAAATGGGGGCATTTGGATAGTGGGGTGTTCTATGGTGCTCCGCCAGGCACTTATTTACCATGTCAGCTCCTACCACAGGGCTGAGAAAGGCTCAGGGGACTTTGCAGGAAGCCCGCTCCCTCCTTGTTTGGTATGCCAAGGGTTCTGCAGGTCTGCGGGAGAGAGTGCCCCAGAGGGCCTGGGCCAGCTACACCCAGTTCTCCTTGCTTAATCCGGAACTGCCGACCCAAATGGTCAGGAAGGTTGGTCCTGAAGGGGCAACGCCTCTTCCGGGCTGTAGGATGTTGGAAGATGGAGATTGCTGGGCAGCGGGTGGTCTGGGCCTCCCCGCAAGCTGCCAACGAAGGAGCTTGGCGCCGGCCGCCAGGGAGGGCGCAGGGGAGCGCAGTCCTCCGGCGGGGAGGCCTCGAAGCCCTTCAAGGACCCCCGATTACTTTCCTTTGAACAACAATAACAACAACAACTGCTCCCCCCACCACCACCCTCAGCTCCCTCCCTTCCTTAGCCTCCGGGGACCCGGGTTTCTAGCAATTGTGGCTCAGGACAGTAAACACAGCTCAGTTGCCTCAACTTTCCTGGTGCATAAAAGTTCCCGGCGTGAGGGGAAATTTGAATATTTGATCAGCCCCTTTGAGTGACCCTCATTAGCCCGGCGCCCTGCTAAGGCCCCAGCATTTCAAGAAAGCTGCTGGGCCCGGCATTTGTACGCCTTGTTAACGCTGCTTAATGAAGCCGCCCCGACGGCTCAAAGGCGGCCTCTGGGGCCGGCAGCGCGCACCTCTCGGCACCCCGCTCCGCCTAATGAGCCCCGCCGCCCGCTAAAGGCCCTTCCACCCCCCACATCCTCAAACAAGAGAGGTTTGGCTCTGTCTAGGACCTGAACACCTCCCACCGCCAGGCCCGGGAGGGTGGGCACAAACCCAGTCTAGCTGGCTGCACAGTGATCTAGCCCCAGGAGAAAGGAGCTAGACACTCGGGGAACGAGAAGCACAAATGGTTATGTGGCTGGGGAAGTAGGGAGGTGGATTTTTTTTTTTTTAAGCTTTTGGATCTAGCGCATCCCTGTCTACCTCGAACTTTTCCCCATAGGGCCAGCTGTAAATCAATTAGCCACCCCAGCTCCTTAAAAGTCAGTCTGGACCAGTGTTGGCGTGTCAGAAGGAGGGATTCACAGGGGAGGGTCAGCTTTCCACTTCCCTTCCTCAAATTCCTTTGGTCTCATCTCCCCAGGAGGCCTCACACTTCTTCCCACCAATCTCCCCACCACTGGAACCCTGGGCCTGTATTTGAGAAAGGGTGGGCAGGGTCAGCTCCCCAACCCGACGCTCCTGGCATCACCACGGAGCCCAAACAGAGAAATGATGTAACCTGTCGGCACTGATGAAACCTGGGCACCACAGCCTGACTTGAAGGTTCACACTTGCCTTCACACTGTCCCTCTTCTAATCTCTCTTCAATCATGTTTGTAGCCCTGGAGAGGCCTGAAGAAGGCACCCCAGGCAAGGCCACTCTCCTTGGGCACGACTGGGCCCAAGACAAACCTGGAGGAGAAAAGAGGGAAAATTCTGGAAGAAAGGGGGTGGACACAGCCATCCGCTATGACCGTCATCTACTTCTCTTCTTGGGCCAAGGGGCATGATTGAGTAGTTAATATAAGCAGTCTTTAGAAATTGTACTTCACTCCTTGGAAAGAATTGACTTTTTTCCCCTGACCCCTCTCTCCTCCATCGTCCTTTCCCCGGGACATTTGGAACTCAGGGTCCCCTCCCACGCCTTTCTTATGCGCCTAGCTCTTGGGTCTTTATTAAACGGGGGTTTAGAAGCAGGGAACGCTCAGTTCTCCACTCGGGACCTTCTGGACTCTCTAGTCTCCATATGCTCACACCCTCCCCCTCCAATTGAGCAGGATGAGACTGTTGACCCCAGGTCCTCATTCAAGGCCAGTGTTCAAGGACTGCTGAAGGCCAGTGCAGGTCCTGGGGTAGCAGAGTCTCAGAGTCTCTCTGACCGGCCCCTCCTCTCTTCCCTCCTTCCATTCAGCTCCACTCCCGTGCCCAGCCCCTTTTCCATTCCACGACCCCCTAAACCAAGCCCGGGCAGACATTCTAGCATCATCTCTGAGCTGGGCAAAGGTAGTGCCCAGGTCATGATCCATTCAAAGGGCAAAAGCAGGGGCGGGTGCTCTTGGAGTGAAGAGAGACCTAAACCGGAGGGCGGAATTCAGTTCGCGGCCCCACGGGCTGCTCAGGGGAGGAGGCGAAAGGAGGGGGTTGTGAGTCCATGGGCATTGGGTCGGGGCAGCAGGGACCTCAGGCGTCGGTGTGGGGGGCTAGATCCGGAGGAGAGGGGAGGGGTGGCGGGGGTCGGAGGAGCACGCGGGGCGGAGGGGTGTGGGGCTCTTTAAGAGCCACACGGCGGCTAGCAGGAGAGGCGTGCGGCCCTGTGCTGGGAGCGCACTGACCCCGAAGGGGATTTAGCGGGAAGGGAGCGGCCGGGTTCTGGGGGCTTTGTCCCGGGGCGCCCAGAGAGGCCGAGACACAAGAATAAGAAGCGGCTGCTGCATGAAAGGCAGCGAGGAGCGGCGGCGCTGCTGCTCTTGACTTCTGAGCAGGGCTTAGAAGGCCTGCCCCGGCTTAAGCTGAACTGAGGGTGCTGAGCTCTGAGCGCCGAGTTCACGGGCTCAGAGTCCCTGGCCTCTGAGCCGAGGAGGTGTGGGATGGGGACCGACGCTGAGTCCTGGGTCTTGTAGCAAAGCCCCCTCTTGGATCTTAACCGCCTTGCAACCCTAGCGCAGGGCTGTGAGCCTAACCTGCCTTGCCTAGCCTAGCCTAGCCTAGCCAAAGAAATTTATTTTCCAACTTGGCTTTTTGTTTTTGTGTGTCCACCTCGAGCAGATCCGGAGTTGGCCGACCCCAGACTGATTCTCAACAGGTGGCTGGGTAAGTCTGTTTAAAAAATTCTGTGTAAATCATCAGCTCCTCCCCGACCCCTTCCCTTTCCCCTCCCTCTTTCCCCCTAGGCGGGTCCGAGTTCGCCGGGCTCCTCCCGCCAGTGGTGGAGGGGGTGTGGGGGGGTACTAGCGCCCTACCATGGGAGGGGGTTCTGGCTCTCAGTTCCTGGTAGTAGACCCCTTGTGAAGTTCAGCCCAGTATCCGGGAGTCCCAGTCATCGACCATCACCCTCATCTCCCATCTCCATGCACTGAGCCCCTGCGCCCCAAGAGGGGGAAAGAGGGAGAGCGGGCGGCAGACTATCAGGAGCAGAACCCGCAGGAAGGGGGTCGAGGGTTCCCTTGACCAGCGGTCTCGGTGTAGGGGTTACAGCGGAAAATGAGCTCTTCATCCTCTTTGTGAGAGATGCGAGAGCCTGCCTGGAGGGATGCGCACCGGCCGCACAAAGCCGGGCAGATGAGCGGTTTTGCAAGCAAGGGTACCGGAGGGTTGGGGGAGGAGGTAGAAGAGGCCAAAAGAGGGAGGGAGAGAACCGAAGAAAGGCAAAGGCAGGAGATTCAGGGCGTCCGAGAGAAAAGTCCGAAAATGTCCTTAGTGCGCGCCTCGAGCAGACGCGCGCTCGGGGGCGCACAATCTATCTCTCTCTCTCTCTCTCTCTCTCTCTCTCTCTCTCTCTCTCTCTCTCTCCTCTCTCCCCCCCCACATAGGTAGCCCCCACACTCCGTTGGTCGTGAGGGCCCACCGCACACGGCGGCGAAGCCACCTTACCCCACACCCCACACCTCACCCCGCCGGCCCAAAAATTGACCGCCCGCGCCCGAGTCGGGGGAGCCAGGAGGATCCCCCAGGGTAGGGGAGCAGGGAGGATCTTACCTGCCGTAAGGTAAGAGAAGCCGGGAGCGTGTAGTAGCGGCGGATAAATATTCATTAGGAAGTGTAAGTCCTTTCAAAGGGCTCTGCGCGCGCGCGCTCTCGCTCCTATCTCTTTCTCTCCCTCCCTCTGTCCTCCAGGAAGGCTCTCCCCTCCACGAGCTATCTCTCCCCCCCCCCCTTCCTGCGAAATACCGGGTGGTGGATCCTAGGCTAGCTAACCTGTTGGGAAGTGTGAACTGCGGCAGCGTCGCTACAGCTAGCTGTTTGCTTTCGCTCTTGGGGCGCGCGTTCTCTCCCCCCCCCAATCCTCTCCCCTCCCTCCTTTCGCCCAGCCCCTCACCCCTCCTAAATTACTACATCATTAGCTTTATTGGGGGGGGGAGTGACGGAGCAGCCAGACGCACCTCTCCATAGAAGGGTGAATAGTTGGTGCCCTGCGATGTAACCCCAGCTGCTCCTCCACGTCATTCTCACCCATCTGCACATCTTCACCCGGTCTTGCTTCTTTTCTTCCCCCCTTTCCATTTCCACCTCCATCCTGTGTCTACCCGTCTCCCTCACCAGCCCTCCCGCCCCGCCGCCGCCGCCGCCGCCGCCAATCCAGATCACAGATTGGGTCGGGAGTGAGATGGCAAGGCAGCAGGTCCGAAGGTCCTGTGTGTCAAAGTTAGAACTCCTCCCTGCAGTGGGTATGGGACGGTTATCAAGATCTCCTTTTCCCACACAGGGTTTCCCTCCTGACCCTGCAAAGGTACGAAATAGCTTGGACCTTTGAATCAGATCTTTAGAGTAAGCAGTAAGAACTTCAGCCTTACAGATCTCAGGGCGGGGGCGGGAGGGGGGGGGAGAGGCTGGCCCTTTCACTGGGCCAGACAAGCTGCTTTGGGGTGGGGTGGGGATAAGTGGGTTCACTCAGTGCGAACGCGTAGGCAACATTCACAGGCCGGCAGTCGGACTGATATTCGTCCTTTAGGAATACACTACCTGAAGTTAGTCGCAAGTCAGCTTCAATCACGGAAAAATCAGGTCTAGAAGATTCCATGAAGCCGCTTCCAATCGCACGAGAACACGTGCGCAACACCCTTCAAGGTGCACGCCCCATGCCTGCTCTCTCGCGGGAGGGTGAGAGCACCAGCTGCCCAGGCCCTAGAAGTGAAGTAGGCGGAGGAATACATCGCTTATGGTTGTTTAGTGATCACTGCTTTCAGTACTCTGGCCTCTGCTTTTCAGGCCCTCGGGTCCCTCTAGGGACCTTAAAACGTGGCTTGGTCCCTAAGTGCCTAGGGGAGAAAGTGGCTCCAGCTCAGGAGCTCAGCTGGGCGCTTAGAGTTGGGGTGTGAGCTAGAGGAGGAGCCTAGGGGGCGGGCCCTCATAGTTTGCAGTTCGAAGTGCTGCTGCTGCTCCAGGGATGCAATGAAGGAGGGTCTCCTTACTCTTAGAGAGCTTGCTTGGAAGCTCCCTGATATCGACCACCGAGCCTCTGTTTTCTCCAGAACCCCAGGGCGTCACAGGGCGAATGTGGCTAGGATGCCGGCTGGCTAAGGTCTAAAGCCGAAAGACTTCACTCTGCTTTTCCTTTTATTGGCTGTTGGGAGCTACTGTCTACCAGGGGAGGTTCTAGGGGCTGGTCACACCCTTCCTGAATCCATGCTGTGGGAGGATGGCAGAGGGTCGCTCCTGCTTGAAAAAGGTCACTACTAATTAGGGTAGATGAAGGGGGGGGGTCTAGGATACCCGGAACTGGGAAACTTACCAACCTTTACAGCCCACCCAAAGTCAGCAACCTACCCTTACACACACACATCCTCTCACCAACACAGATCTCTGGGATCACGCCCTCAACTGGTATTCACAGACGGTGTTTGCACTGCAATTGTGCGAGAACACACTTAAGGAGGATTAAAGAACCCTAGCAACAGAGCTGGAGGAATAAAGAAGTGTCCATATGCATGGGTCGAATGCATGGGTACACACCCAGTTGTCCAGATGCAAACAAAGCTGCAGTGCCCACATGAAGACAGACACACAGGCACCTATGTACAGGAAGCCAAGGAGAGTAGGCTCAACTGGCATGCAGTACTTCCTGCAAGAGGTATGTTGTCCGTGGAGAAAGAAACTTTGCTGAGTCTTCTGGAAGTAAAAGTTTCAGTTCTGAAGAAAGAGCCAAGGAATCATCTACCCAGAGCCTGCCTTTGGACTCTCCTACCTGCTCTGTTGGAGACACCCAGAAGAGGGCAATACAGGAAAGATTCCTTTTGACTCAGTTATTTCTCTTGGTTGGTGCCTTTTTCATCCTCTGCCTGGGAGACTGTGCTCCAGAGTAGGGCTTGAGTACACAGCACTGACAGCCTTCACCAGGTGACAGGAGAGTCTCAATTTCCAATGGGAACATTCAGTTCTAAAGAAGCTTCCAGATGTGCAAAAGCCCTGGCTGCCCCCCTTTCGGTTTTTCTTTTTTCTCTTCTGAGATCTGAAGAGAACGGTAGCTCTCCCCAACCCCAAGGGTATCAAATATCTGCAAGGAATGTGCTAGTGCAAGCCAAATTCTTTATTTAACTAATATTCTTTTGTGGGATATTGAGAAGTCTTCAACCATGGCTCCTCTATTCCAGGCAGAGATTGAGGTCCTGGCCTGGCTGTGAGTCTACCAACAGGGCTTCCCACAGTGGTTTGGGGGCTAGATTGAATAAGTGTGCAAATTTATTCTCACTGTCACCTCTTTTGCCTGCCCTGGACCATACTGCCCCAGTTCCGGAGAGAAGAGTCAGGGACTGCTCCAAGCAATGGTGCCCTTCCCCACACCGCCTTGTCCAACTTGCTCTCTCGAGCTCATTTTCTGAGCCTCCCTCTTTGAAAGTAGTAGGAGTGAAGTCTTGGACCATTTCTTTAAAAAGGATGGCAAGGAAGAGGGAGGAAGGGAAGGAGGAAAGGGGGTGGGAGGAGGTGCTAGCTCCTAGGCCAACAAGCCCAGGAGCTGCTCTCTAAGGGGGAAAAGAGAGCTGCAGTTGTAAAGAGGAAGTGACCCCCAAACACTGCTGCAGGGCACACCATCACAGATGTAACCGTCCCCTGAAGTGACCGAGGGGTGTGACTAGGGAAGGTTTTCTGCCCTTTGGGGAGCAGTTCTTTTCACTTTTCCAAGACACTCTTAGTTCCTGGCCATTTTAGTGAATTTGTTCTTGTTTGCGTCTTGAACAATAAATTGTGAAAATCGCCCCTAGAGTCCATGTAATCTTAATCTTCGTCGGCGGCAGGGCAGTTGCTGCCAAAGCTTTTTTAGTCCAGTCGGGTTTTTTTTGTTTGTTTTGTTTTGTTTTTGTTTTTGTTTTTGTTTTTCTCTCACGCCCAAATTTGAATCACCTGCTGATGCACCCCAGAAAGGGCTGTGGTCAAAAGAGTGAACTGAATAAGGAGGCATCCCCCTCCGATCCAAAGAGTAACTCTCCTTCCTTCTTCTAGCTGAGATTCGGAACACAAAGAAACGAACTGGTTGCCTTGGAACATTCTCTGCCTCTTGGGGTAGTTTAGAGCCTTTCTCATGACGCATCCCAGCGCTTGAGAACTGGAAGGGTTTGCTCTGACTCTCCAGTCTCACAATAATTTTCACACTCTAACTGGAAAATGTGTTTATGTGGGTTTAGGTGGAAGACTGTACCAGTCACCTCTCAAGCAAAGATCTTCTGTTTTCTCATAACCCTGAAGGCTCCACATACTTCACTGGACATTTTAATTTATTTTTCTTTCTTACCCTTGTTCCTTCTGCCCAGGACACAAAACTAGGGGCAAAACTTGGGAGATCTGTGACCCTTTTGATAGCACCCCACAACTCTTAGGTTTGTGTTGAGCAGTGATAACCTGTCTCACATAGGTCAATGCATATATGTGTATGCATGCATGCGTTCCTATTGGGTTGCCCACACTTTCCCAACACACTCGGGCTGCCTAGATGAAGCAAGCTATTTCCGCTGCCCAGGGCAAAGGGCTAACCGCCCTTGTGGGTCTAGTGTTGGCATAGGATATTACTGGTGTGTGTGTGTGTGTGTGTGTGTGTGTGTGTGTGTGTGTGTGTGTGATAGGGCAGTCATTACCTTCAACAATAAATTAAAATAACCAGATACCCCTTTAATCCTTTCCACAACAGTGTCAACGCTCTGGAGACGGCCGTCTCACCTCCCAAGGTGTCTTCACTCCCAGAGGGGCCGGGGCTCTGCCGCAGCCCAACACTGGGCTGGCGCTTAGAGAGGAGGTACTCCGACGGAAAAAATCCCATACATTTTTAACTACAGTGATTACTAAATTAATAGCAGGCACCAAGACAGATGTCAAAACGTCTTGAAAATGTTTATCTGTGAATAATTGAGAAGGTAGTGGGACGCATTATCTGATTGTGTAATGAAATATGTATGAGGAACAGCTGTTTGCCGCAGCCCCTTCCCACCGCCGCCTTAGCCAGGGCCCGTCTCTGGCAGGCAGGAGTCTTCGGTGAAGTTGCTCGCCCACTTTCTTCCACCTGGGAGTTCCCTCGCCTCTTCCCTGGCTGCTCTGCGCCGCTGTGGCTATTAGTGAACCCCAGAGTCGCCTGGTTCTCTGATGGAGGGTATCTACACCGTTTCCCCTCAGCCTTGATCGGTTAGTGTTCGCGGAGGGGTGCGGCGGCTTCTCTGCCGGCTGCTCTGGCCATCGCGCCTTCCGGCCCGGCTGCCCGCTGGGTCTCCATGGATGCAGGAGTGCAGACGATGGAACGGGCGGCGGCAGCGGCCGCGGTGGCCCGGAGTCCCCGGAGCACCTGGCGTGGGCTGGTCGAGCTGCGCGACCGGGTCAGAGTAAAGGCCCAGGAGCCCCGCGACTCAGCGGGGCGGGTCTGGGGTCACTGCGGGGTGACGGGGCTGGGGATCTGGCTTTGTTTCCCTCTCTAGCCACCCTGCACACTTCCTTCCAGCCCCCAGCCAGCCTCCAAGACGCAGAGCCCTGGTCCTGTTTGTTTTTCCAGCCCCGAGCCCTCCACCCAGACGCACAAATAGCCCTCGAGGCTGCCCCAGGCCGTGGCCCAGCTCAGGCCGCAGTCTAGCCTCCGCCTCGCCACGAGTTCTGGCCCCGCAGGAAGCAGAGGGGACGGGAGGGCTTCAGGGTCTTCCTGGAGCCAGAGGGCACAAGGGACATCGGGGAGGGGGAAGGGGGGCGGGAACAGTTCAGGACTTCGGCGGGCTGTGAAGGCCCAAGATCTGGTCTCAGAGGGGCGCATGTGACTTGAGTGGCGGCTTCTGGGCCTGGGACGTGGCCACAGAGTGGGGATAACGGTGGGGCTAACAGAAGGACTCCATGTAGGACCTCATCAAGCTTGGGCCTGGAATGCCACGTCAGTTATACCTACAAACCCAATGACCCTTTGTGGGTATGCTGTCCCCCCTCACCTCTTGCAGGATGCTTCTCGAGGCAGTGGAGCCGCGTCCCCGGTGTCGCGCTGCCTGTCTCCCCCAGCCGGATCACAGGCCTGCCTGCGGTGTCCACTTGTATAGTCTCCCTGGCCCTTGGCCTTCCCCATCCCCGGGAG